TTCATATTTTGTTGAAACTAGGAAAACTTGCGATTTACTAGTCAGAGCCCTATTTTATTTTATTTCTCTCTTTAGATAAACTGTCGAATTTAATATTTCCCGTGTAGAAATTTCCCTACCAGGGCCCTGGTAGTGAATAATAATCTGGTCCCGATCAGGGACTGTTCAGGGCCAGATTAGGGCCACGAGAAAAATGGGGATTTCCTAATCAGGGACACATCAGGCGTAGCGTCACATTCCCGCCCGATCCGGCCCCGATCCGAGCCATGGCAAAATTTCTACACGGGTTAAGACATTTCCTGCATTATTATTTAACGAGTGAAATAAAATAGGGCTCTGACTAGTACCTCGCCAGTTTACCTAGTTTGAAGAAAATATTTTTTAAAAAAATTAGTTTTTTAAAAACTTAAAAAAAAAAAATTCAAAGCGTGCGCCTGTGTTTTGTAAATGAATACATAAATGAGTCGTTTTTCTAAAAATATAAATTTGAGCATAGAACTATTAATAGTCGATGATGAGTGTTCTTGCACTATAACTGTGAAACCTCTTTCTATGATTATATGTCTCTTATTCTCTTTCAGATGTTTATCGTCAACGACGCATATCATATATATATATATATATATATATGTATGATGTCTGCACATATGACAAGCGTTCTCTTTCTCTCTATACAAACTTTTTGAACGCATATTTTTCATTTCTCTTCAAAGTTTCATATACATAGTCACCCACTGTTTTTCAGTGTTGCTATACTTTATCTGCTATTTTAGATCGCTACTGACACTAAAATCTATAATTACCAAAATTGATACTATTTTTTTAATAGACAAATTTCAATTATATTTTTTTCTAGTGATTTTACATTTTAAAACTATTTATCTAACTAATGACTATTTAATAACTATTTGAAAACTCTAATAACTATTTAACCCCTTGGCTGTCGACAAGATTTCCATTGTTTGGGCCAAAAGTGTGTTGAAAAAAATTTTAACGTACTTTCATGAAATTTGATATACTAAGGTTTTTAGGGTTCCTGATTACGAATCTGACATCAGTTTTTCAAAATTCAAAATGGCGGTTACAATATGGTGGATTGAAATTCTTAAAAATGTGCGGATTCGATTATTGCCATATTGGATCCGCCATTTTGAATTTTGAAAAACTGATGTCAGATTTGGAATCAGCGACCCCGAATAAACAGTTTGAGGAATATTTAAGATTTTTTGAATCACTTTTTATAAGTTGCGCATATAATGCGTCAACTGCACTCTTGTCCAGATTTAGTTTTGCGCATATATGCCTCAGCGACAGGCAACGGGTTAACTATTTATTGATTACTTGACTATTATCAAATAAAATATTTACTTGAACCAATAATTTCTGTATTTGAATCAAATAAATTTTTTTTTTTTTCATCAGTGTAGCAATTGAATTTAATTTCTTTTTGACAAATTTCTATTGTACCATCGAATTGAATATTTAATGAAAACAAATGTTTAACTAATATTACAATTTATAAAAATTCGGCTAAATAAAAAATTTTTTTATTACTTTTGTAACTGCAAAAAACTGATAATTTTAACTCTCTATTGGTAAATTAATGTATAGTGATATTACTAAACTTTTAAAATTTATTATTATTATTTTATGTCACAATTTATTTCAGCTATATTATTATTATTATTATTTTTTTTATTATTAAAGATATTTATTTTAGTGTAAATATGAAATTCAACAAATAGTTTCGGAGACTATTAGTGTCACGATATAAACTTATTTTCCATTTTATGACAAAATATTACTGAAAATCTACAAATACGTTTGAGATTAGTCATCGAGTAAACGCTACAATAACAAGAAGAAATTTTGGATTTTATCCAATTACAATGTGTATTATCTATTCAATTTGCTAATATAACTACTTTAATGACTAATTAAATTATATACAATTAAAGAAATTTCTAAAATAACTTAACAACTGCTTTTGTATTATTTTTAGAATTTTAAATTTATTTTTAGCCGCACCTACGTTGGGATTGGATTATGTATATGGGATGCATGCGATTATGTTATAAAAATCATTAGTTAGAATTTTCATTTTATGGAATTTTATGAAAAATCATTTAATGAAATTTCTAATTAATGGGAATTTTCATTTGTCCGAAATTGCAAATGGCCGAACAAACAATCGATTTTGGTGCAATTTTTAAAATCAACCAATCAAAAATTATCCATAAAATTGTGATTGGTTGATTTTAAAAATCGCACCAAAATCAATTGTTTGTTCGGCCATTTGCAATTTCGGATAAATGAAAATTCTATCAATTAGAAATTCGGTTAAATGATTTTTTGGTTAAGAGTGTCGAACGGTCTCTGAAATACTTTGTCAATCTTTCGGATTTAAGAAATTTATAAGATAAGATTCATTGGTATTTTTTTCGATTTTGAAAAAAAAAAATTCTATGCAATGAAATTCTCCTCAATAAAAATTCTTTAAAATGCCTATTATGTTAAATGAAAATTCGAGCAAATAAAAATTCGAACAAATAAAAATCCTGTGAAGTGAATTTTTGGGTTATATAAAAATTTTGTAATATAGAAAATTGTTTTGATGAAAATTCCGCAAAATACTAATTTGAACAAATAAAACTGCAATACATAATACTCAGCTACAAAAAGACCTACACTAGGGATTACGTCCCGGAAGGCAACCCATCAAATCTCAAATTTTTTAATCTAGAAATTATAATTTTTCACATTTAAAATAATGTATTGCTATCTTTGATGATTAATTTCTAAAATAGAGGGTATATTAGAGAAATTAAACATTTCAGGTTATGTCGCTACATTCGTAGAAAAAAATTCGATTTACTCTCTGAATCTGAATCAGTCATATTTTACTGATTAACAGTAGAAATCTACTTATTGCCATAGCGAGAATTGAGCAACTGACAATTAGTAGAAATTTACTGATTTAATCAGTAAAATATCAATTATTGATTGAATCAGTAATATATAAATATATGGCGGCGGCCACAAAATCTACTGATTTAATAGTAGGTAAATAGGTAAATTTCAAAAAATAACTGAAACTTCAGTTAAAATGAAAAGTACTGATTGAATTAGTAAAATTTCTACTGATTCAGATTTAGAGAGTACCAATCGCGTATTCCCTCGAAGGAGCGATGGCATCCTCTCTCCTGTCCTTCAGTCTGAAATACACAAAAATCAAAATTTTTAAACGTTAGAAAAAAATTGCATTGCGTAAAAAAATGTTTAAAATACTTTATTCTATTAATTTTCAGTAATCATAATTATAAAATAAAAAAAAAAAAATCTTACCGTGGACACCCTTGGCCAATGCCTATGAGCTGTCTGAATACAGCCGTTTTCTCAGTACAAAATTGTGAACAAAACAAGTTCGTAAAAACAGACAGAACGTCTATTATGTGAAACTTCACCTGTCATATAAGTCCCCTTCTGCACAGGGTTGGGAATGTATAAAACTCTATTATGTATCAGGCAGTGTCAGTTCATCGAGATATTTCGAGTTCGAATATGACGTCAGATGGCTGGAGGAAATAACAGACGACAAAATGTTATTCTTATGGGGGGGGGAAATTTGTTTCCACTTTTATCAAATTTTACTCATATTTTATAAACATGGAAAACGGTTGTTGACATATAATAAAAATAAAATGTTTGTTAATAATTAACTTTGTTATTTGATACAATTGCATTGGTATAGATCCAAAAAATTTTTATTAGTTTGAAGTAAATTTTCTTGGATCAAGAAAATATTGGTATTGAATACGGTCAAAAGTATATAGGTTTTCTTGATTCAATACTATTTTTTTTCAGTATTTATAGTTTTTAAGACTGAAGGACAGAAAGGAGAATGCAGAGAAAGAATTGATTCCTTTAAGGCCTGAGCAGAATAAAAACGTAACCGAAATCGTAAACGGAAGAATGAGTTAGAGAAGGATGGTTATATATTGTTGTTCTTCTCTCTCCGTTTGCGATTACGATTCCGGTTACGTTTCTATATATTGTGCTTAGGCCTTTACTGAAAGACTTGTCCAGAAACAGTGATATACTACTTTCGCGCTCCGTCGAGAAAATCCGCAATATATAGTTGAGTACGAATTTTTTTCTCTATACGAACGTAGCGACGAAATGTTTAATTTCTCAATTGTACCTTCTATTTTAGAAATAGATTATCAAATATAGCAATACATTTTAAATTGTACGAAATTATTCATTTTTGATTAAAAATTTAAAAATTGACGGTTCTATCCCGGGACGTAATCCCTAGTGTAGGTCTTTTTGTACTTGAATTGTACATGTAAGTGCTATTCGTCAGGTATTCACTCCCTTAACAGATAACTTGTAAAGTTGTTAATTTCATGAATGTGGTGTACAAATTTTTTAAATATATAGCTATATGAGAATTTTTCTTAATAATATTATCTAGATAGTTTAAAAATTATTTCTATTAAAAAATGGCAATGTCAAATAATTATTGAAACATTATTAAAGGCAAAATAATCGTTCAACAATTTTCTATATATATATATATATATAGATAATAAATGAAAGAAGATGTAGAGAAAGAGGAAGACGAAGACTTGATTCATGACATGGCCCTTCGAGTGGTTCATTGGATTCAAGGGGGACTTCCCACCTCTCGTTCTGTCACTATGTTTTCGTTTAGAGTTTACACTATATATAGCTAAAGTACCAGCAGTCGCCCACACACAAATATATAGCCTCCCTATTACTAGCGCCAGTTGCTCCTTTTTGCCGACGGGGAAATCCCCCCTGAGTACCACCCCCCCTTCCCCCGCTTTGAGTACTCATCCACCTCTCTTTCCTTTCCTCACCATCTTTCCCCCGTATTCCCCTTCAAAATCCCCATGAAACCAATGCAGAATGGTGTGTGGTGAGACGCATCCACCTCGCCCTTTGGCTCATCATACCCCGCCAACGCCACCAACATCACTGACGTTCCGATGCACGTGCCGTGTGCAAACCTCTGTATGACTAGGACGAGCCCGCCACCGTGAGGGCCATTCGAATCCAGTATTAGTGCGGTGTAGATTGTGCGGTGTTAACCCCCCTTTAAAAAAAAAAAATAAAATAAAAAAAAAAATCTTCTTCGACATCACTGCATCTTTCTTTTCCGCCTTCGATCGATATACACACGATAAGTGGTGAGTACCTGATTTTTGACGAAAGGAGATAAACTTTTATTTTAAGTGTTAAGGTGTTACTTTTAAAAGAAAAAAGATGTTCGCGATTCGGTGATATGTGAATGGTGGATCGTAGTGTAAAATTCGAGCGAGAAAGAGAGAATAGCCGCGCACTATTATCATAGAGGGTATTTATATATTTTTCCACGGTCATCGGAAAACTTTTCTAATGGAATTGTTTTTTAATCTCCCTCGTGATTGAAATATTCCAGGAATAAAATGTGAAAAAAACTGTTGGGCTTCATTGTCAGACGACAATGAAAATGCCAAGTGGAGGATATAACCTCGATATAATGGAGATGCTATTGTATATATGTGGGTACATGTTTTCTGATCAGAACTGTTTTTTAGTTTTTTTTTTACCAAGATGAGGTTACTGAATAATTTCAAATTTAGAATTTCGTCAGAAAAATTAGTTTTCAATAAATTTTCTCAAAAAAAAAAAATATTTGGATTCTATGTTATTAAATCATTTTTAAATTTTAGTTACAATTTTAGAGTTTTTATACGAAAAAAAAATTCCACCACACATTTGTAAATTAGGAAAAATTTTCTATAATTTTATTGTAAATTTTTACGTTGAGATAAATTAACCATCAAAAAGTCGAAGTTTTAAATAATTATTAGAATTGTAAAAATATTTACATTATATTCTCTAAAAAATAAAAAATTTAGAAAGTGGAATTTAAAAAAAAAAATAAAAATTTTTTAAATAATTTTATTAAATTTGAATCAGAATTTTTATATTTTTGATAATATTCAAATTTTTTCTATAAATATTTTCATTTTAAAATAATTTTTTAAAATTAATTTCTCGAATTCAGGATAATTTTTGTATTGACAAATAAATATAGACGATTTTTTTTCAATATTAACGGTAAAACGATCTTTTAGTTTATGGAATTTTTATCTATTCCGTTTAGGTTAGAAACATTTCCGGAAATATTACCAAAAAACTTGAAATTTCCCTCTATCAAGTATCGATATGATATTGATTACCAATTTCAATTATATCAATAATCAACTACTATATAATCGATGTTAATATCGATAATTAATTTCACTATAATCGATATTAATATCGATAATCAACTACTGTTTAATCGATATAATATATCGATAGTCAGGCTCGATACAATAGCACTCAATTTCGATAGAATCGATACTAATATCGATAGTTAAATTAGAGTAAAATCGATATTAATATCGTGAATTAACTTTAATAAAATTGAAGTAAAATATCGATACTCAGCTTCAATAAAATCGATGTCAATTTCGATAGTTTCGATAGTATCGACATTTTATTCAATGAAAGTAACTAGATTCTAGTTTTTTGATTGGCTAATTATCAAGAAATATAAACAAGCCTGTCAGAACCAGGGTTGAGCAGTTACGTTTAAATTTTACGTATTTAAGTGTAAATTACAATTATCAATTACAGTGAATAACGTAAAAAAAACTATATTTCATAAATTTTTACCAGCAGATAATTGTTAATTTCTGCTATATTGTAGAATTCTAAAAAATTAATCTCATTACGTAAAGAATTCCCAACCCTGACGAAAATTCATATTCGTATGAAAAAATACATCCAATTGCATAAATGCCATTCTTCCGGTTTTCAAAAATATTTTGAAACACTTCTATAATAATGTTATTAGTTCGTGGCGTTTACAATATGCCATGAACTAATAAAAATAATTTTTGAAGTACTTTTGAATTTTTAAAAAATGGTAACACTTCTACAATAATTTTATTAGTTCGTGGCGTAATTTTTAAGGCCAATGCACAATGCTCACAAACGTGTTGAATAGGATAAAAAAGGACACAAGTATTTCTTTATCCTTTTTCGTTTTATGCTTAACGTTCGCGAATCTATTGTGCGTTAGCCTTAAGCCATAAACTAATAAAACTATTATAGAAGTGTCACGACTTTTATTTATGCAATTTAATGTAATTTTATAATTTAGTTTTTGTTGAAAAAAATTTTTTTTTTGTTGATGGTTGGTTTCCATTGTCCCTACTCGCCATTTGTCATAATTCTCGTCAACTACCGCACACTGCTCTAGTAAAAATTTAGTAATTTTTAAATTTCACAATAAAATCACTAAATTTTTACTAGAGCAGGGAGGGGTAGTTGACGAGAATTATGACAAATGGCGAGTGGGGTCAATGGAAATCAACCTTGATAACCGAATATCAAGGTTGGGAGGGTACTATCTTGGCTTTGGTTTTTATCCTTGTCTTCAATTCGAACGCAGCGTTTTGTGTTGAACAATGAGTGAAACAGTAACAAGGATAAAAATCTCTCTCTCTCTCTCTCTCTCTCTCTCTCTCTCTCTCTCTCTCTCTCTCTCTCTCTCTCTCTCTCTCTCTCTCTCTCTCATTGTTCAACGCAATACATAGTATTCGAACAATGTCATGTAAACACAGTCTCACACTATATTTTACGTACTGTAATTTATTTTTACCCAACGTATATGTAACAGCCCAACTCTATGTCGAAAAATAATTTTCTCATAATTATTCTAAATTATGAATACTATTGCTCAAAAAAGTTACCAGTTTACAAAATTTTCAAAAAGTTTCCACATCCTTATAATGTTTCTAAAATTTTTCTTCGTTCTGTCTCAAGCTTAAAAATCTTCGCTAATCTTGGAAAATTCACTTGTCACAATTTTTCCAAAATGATGAAACATAACAGAGGTTCCACTCTAAAATTCGAGGAATCAATAATTAGTTAGAAAAGGATAGCAATATTTTCCTTCTTTTTATTTTTTTTTTTTTACCGATTCCTTGTGATTAGGTTAGGATTTCCTCACATAGCAATAGTAATGTAAACTTTTTTTCTAAAACTATATATATATGAAATATAAAAGTTTGATGCAAAAGAAGAGAATTTTTTTTCATCTCAATTCGAGGAAGGTTAGAGTTCCGGTTTTTTGAATGTTGAATGTTTTTGGATAGGTGTGGTGGGGGGGAAAAAGGGGAGGGGTACATCAGTGATGTGGCAGTGAGGTGGACGGGTGTTAGTAAAAGAGAGGGTGATGAAAATGTATATATTGAAGAGGGCGGAACGCCGAGAATGAGAGAGGAGAGGGTGGGGGGCAAAGGAGAGGGTAAGCGTCGCGGCGCCCTCATCTAGAACTTGCCTTTCCTAATACGGCGTCGCTGGGTTCTTGACGATGAAGCGGCCTACGTCTGCACGGATATAGAACCCTCTGCACTTCCCTCTTTCCAGGCGTCCCATTGGACACTTTTTCGGCTTCTGCCCGCTGATTACGGAAATAGAAACTGTTACCGACACGTCCCGATTGTTTACATTCATCTCTCTTTCTCTCTCTCGCTCACTATTTCCTTGAAATTGTTTTTTTTTTTTTTTTTATTTATTAAATAACAGATCGATTATAACCACCTAAACTTGCAGCAATGATTTGAGAACATCGCCTCGATATTCTAATAATAGAGAAATTATGATAATGTTAAAGCAATTACAGAAGCATTTTTGTAGTTAAAAATCGTCTCTCACTCTCAGAGTATATTAAAAAATAGTGTAAATTTTAGAAAATTAATTGTTTGTTTCTAAAAAACTAGTAATTGTTTCTATTTATTTTTTTGTGGCTTATAAAGATTTGAAATCTTTTTTAACGAGACTTTGGCATCTTTCTGTCCGTCATACAGCAGAGTTTTCTACCATGGCAATTGTTAACATAGCAACAGTTACTATGGGTTGCTATGGTAACTGTTTCCATAGCAACGGTTGCTATGGTAAATCGCGAACATAGCAACGGTTGCTATGGGTTGCTATGGTAACTGTTTCCATAGCAACGGTTGCTATGGTAAATCGCTAACATAGCAACGGTTGCTATAGTAGCAGTTACCATGACAACCGTTGCTATATGTTAACAGTTTACCAATTCTTAATTGAACAGCATCGAAAATTGACTAAAATTTTTGATTTTCAGTATAAACAAAATGCCTTTCAAACCAGTTGAACATCCAAAATGCCCGAAATGCGGCAAATCAGTTTATGCCGCCGAAGAACGTGTTGCTGGTGGACTCAAATGGCACAAAATGTGCTTCAAATGCGGTAAGTTCATTTATAAATTTTCCCTTATCATTATAAAAAAATATATTTTTTTTCACTGATTATCATTTAACGAATATCAGTAATTTTACTTTAAATACATTCTATTTATTTTTTTTATTTGTTTACAATTTTTAAAATGAAGGAATTCGTATTACTAAAATTATTATTATTATTATTATTATTATTATTATTTTATTTATTAAAATTATTATTATTAATTTAAATTTCGTTACTACTACTATTCTTAAAAATAATTTAAAAAAAAAAAATTTTTTTTTCTTTTTATTTGTTTCATAACAAGTGTAATAATCTCTGTTACGCCAAATGTGCAACACTTTATGAATAGGAAACTATTTTTATCACACTTTTACGGCTCTCTGCGCGTAACAGAGACTTGATGCATAAATTTGAACTCGTCTGACTCATCGCGGTTTATTCCACTTGTAGGTATAGATGTGAGAGAAAAGTGTAACAGACACTTGGCTGACTGAAAATTAACGTCACTACTGTGAGAAACTTGTTAAAAATAGGGATTATATTTTATGAATTATAAGAAAAAAAATACTCTTCTTTTTGATAAAAATAAATCTAATACAATAATTTTATTAAGTAATTCTTTAAAATTATATACATATATACTTTATTATAAATAAATAAATAATAAAACATTATTTTGGATAAAATAATTTTCTTTTTTTTGTTAATTTAAATAAAAGTTATTAAAAATAGAAAAGTTTTTCTTATTGAATGTATAAATCAGAGTATAAACGTTAAAGCATTAGTAGATATAATTTAAGGCAAAGTTCATAATTATTAATTATTTTCAATATTAAAAAATTAATTTTATTAAATTTTTTTATTATATAAGGTGTAATTTTCAATTTTATGACGATAAAATATATTTTTACATGTGCGTATTTAAAATTAATAATAATTTAATTTATAATGTACATAATGAAGTATTATCTCGTGAAATTCAGATATCAAGGAATTCTTAAATAAATCAAAATACGCTCAATATATAGTTTTATATATTTTATATGCAATGTAAATTTATTTAATTAATTTTTTCAAAAATTTGCAGTTCGTTTAAATTAATTTTTTTTTCTAACTTCAAATAAAAAAAAGTACTTTTTATGAAAATTGTTTTTTTTCATTTATAATATTAAAATATTTATTATTAATTCAAAACTCAATTCTAAATTATTATTTTATTTATTTATATGTAAACGAAAGAATAAGAGAAAAAACGAAAAAAAAATTTTTTCTTTTCTTTTTTAAAATAATTTTTAAAAAATTAATAAGACAATAATAATAATAATAATAATAATAATAATAATAATAAGCAACGCGCCCTATGTTAAAGTGTTTTTCAAATATTGAATCTAGACTTTTTGTCCAGTTTCCTCCAATCAGAGTAACTTTTAGACACAGTGGCGAAAAATGGTACTACTGAAAATTATGGACAAATGTACCATTCAACCAAAATTTGTTAAGACTATTCTACAATACTTTTATTTCATCGGTATTTTCAAAAATTCCCCATAGTAAATCAAATTGCAGTAAGAAATTATGAAAAATGAAAATTTGTCCAGTGGCATATTTAGGAATTTTTTTGTCCAGTAAGAAAAAATTTATTTATCCAATGACGCATTAGGAAAGTTATTAGAATTAACAAAATAGCTCCTACATACACCCAATTGCATAAATTTTGTCCTTTGACGACATTTTGAAAAGTCGTGACACCTTCAATAATAATTATATTAGTTCATGACGTTTGGTACGTTTATGGCCTGAGCAGAATAGAAAAGTAACCGTAATCGCAATCGTAAACGGAAGAATGAGTTAGAGAAGGATAGTCATATATTGTTGTTCTTCTCTCACTAATTCTTCCGTTTGCGATTGCGATTACGATTCCGGTTACTTTTCTATTGTGCTTAGGCCTTAACATTACGCCACGAACTAAAAAAAAATTATAGTAGAAGTCCTTTCGGTTTGACGACATTTTGAAAAGTCCTGACCACGAACTAACAAAAAAAAATTATTATATATGTTGTCCTTCCGGTTTTGATGAATAGTTTTATTATAGTTTATGGCTTAAGGCTAATGAAGAATAGGTTTGCGAATGTTAAGCATAAAACAGAAAAGAATAAACAAATACTTCTGTCTTTTTCTATCCTATTTAAAACGTTCGCGAGCCTTAATCATTACGCCATGAACTATTAAAATTATTGTAGATGTGTCACACGACTTTTGTTAATTCTGTCAAACCGGAAGGACTTCTATACAATAATTTTATTAGTTCTTGATTTAATAAAACACCATACGCCATAAACTATAATAAAATTGAGCTTCCAGATCAAAGGGCACATAACTAATGTAATTTAAATTGTTTATGTGCCCTTCTTTTGATCCGGCAGCTCGCAATTATTATATACAAGTGTCACGACTTTTCAAAAATGTCGTCAAACCGTAAGGACAAAATTAATGCAATTCGCAGTGTATATATATATATATATATATATATATATATATATATATATATATATACACCAAAATGATGAGTCATTTGAAAAATGACCCCAAAAAATCAGACAAATTCAAATTTAGAAATAATATACTGAACCTAAATTTGTCTTTAGAGAATATAAGGGACAATTTTCGTTGCCAAAAAAAATCCTTACTCTACTATATATCTATATAGTTTGTGGTCCTAAAATTAGAAGCAATAGATTTCTCGTTGATAGAGAATGTGTGTTAAATAAAGTTTTCCTTAATCGCCGATAGATGGAGAAAAAGACACACTTGCTCCGGGTCTTGATATCTCATTCTTTTATTAAACACATTGAACAATTGTTAGTTGAACTAGAAACACGACAATACGCGCGCAATTGTGATACACTCAAAGAACACGTCGACATTCTTTTTTTTTTCCTCTTCGTTTTTTCAGGTCTCTGCAGTAAACTTCTCGATTCCACGAACTGCTCTGAACACGAAGGTGAACTTTTCTGCAAAAATTGTCACGGACGTAAATTTGGACCCAAGGGATACGGTTTTGGTGGTGGTGCCGGTTGCCTGTCCATGGATCAAGGCGAACACCTCAAGAGTTCCGAGTGAGTGCACCTGCGGTCGTCCCCCATCCCCCTTTTTTTTTTTTGATAAAAAAATCCCCATCTTCTCACCACGACAAAAAAAAAAATTCAATCTTCCAAAAATAGAATAAACTTGTTAGCCGTGCATGATTCCTTCCTGATGGTATTTTTTGAAAAAATGTAATGTTACTTCGTCATTACTACCAGGAAGTTATCAAATGATAAATTCCCTTTTTTCTGTGTATTTGACATAGTTTTTTTTTTTTTTTTTTTAAATATTTCTTCCTTTTCCTTCAGTATGGAATTAACGTCGTTGGTTGTTTTTGTTTTCCTTTTTCCTACAGTAGTTGGCCTCAAGTCTCGACACTGTTAGATCTCCTTTTTTAAAAACAGGCGACAGCGTTGGGATTTGAAAATTTCCATTAAAATTATTTCCAAAAGAAATTACTATTATTTCCAAGTTTTCTAACATTGTCACAGACAGAGGCCACTACGTTCCTTTTTTTTTTTTAAAAAAACTCTTTTTCTCAGTGATCCACTTCCTCTGTTCTCGAAAAAAAAAAACTTGTCATCTTTTTGCTAATAACAATGATATTAATCCATCATGTAATTATTATTATTGTTAATTACGGAAGATGAGATGCGATATTGTAGAATGTGAAGCAATTCGATGAGATGGAATCTTTCCATTAAAATCGTCTTAGCTTAAATGATCGTCGCTGCGTTAAAGCGTTTGCAAAAAAAAAAAAACACACAAACACATTTTATAGCTATAGGATAAACATTTGTACCATCTGTATTAAGTGCTATACTTAAATTGAAAAAAAAAAGATTATCTTAATTAATAAATAACACAGTAAATGTGGAAAAAAAAGAACGCTGCCCATAATTAAATCGATTTGTGAAAAACCTTTTTACCAAACACCCCTATCCCGCCAGCCCCGCCGAGTTCGAGCCAATGGAGGCCGATTGATAAATCTTGATCACACCCACACACACAGAATTTCTCTGAAAATAAACATGGTGAGCACCGAGTATTCCACCCGCGTGAAGTCGCTTCCTTATATATAAATATATTTATATATATATTTGCGTATCCTGCACGGCCTCTCTTTACGTTAATAACATCTTAACCTTGCTAACAAATTTTTAATCACAAAAATGGCGTCCATTTTTCTTGCAAGCTGAATAGTCTCGAGATATCAAAAATTTTTCATCACTTAGAAAAAAATTAATTTTCCCTTACACATTATGGTAAAAAATTAATTCTTTGGGGTTTTTTTTTTTTTTTTTTTTTTTTAATTTTCTTATTAAAGAATAGAACCTTGTGAAATTGGGCCACCTGCTCTAGAATCAACAAATTGGCAAATCGCGATTTAAATTTACAGTATTGAAAACGCTAAATTGGAAGACGTCCAATTTTAACGGAAAATTAATTCTACGAAAAAAATATTATTAAATTTAAAAAAAAAAAACAGTTCTACTCATTGACATAACCTCAAAAATTTTGCTCGCTTTTTTATAAAATGTTTTTTTTCCATTTTGAGGTTATGTGAAATTAGTATAAACAGAATTTCGTTTGCATTAGAAAAAAAAACCATTCTGCATGATTGGTATAATGCAATCGGAGATTCTGATGAACTTTACTTTTTTTATTTATCGATAAATTATAATCTCGAGGCTCTCCAGCAATCGCTCATTCTCTCTCTCTCTCTCTGTATCTATCTCTCTCTTTTTTTTTTTTTTTTAATTGGACGTACCAAAAATCTGCTTCTCGGCTCTCCTCTCTCAGGGGCTCGGCGGAAGCCACTCGTGTGGTTGGGGAATACTAATCTTACTAACGCCTAACATTTGTCTTATATTTGTCTCGTTATGACCGACTTTCTATTTTTTTTTTTACTAGTACGGATTCTTTATTTTAATGTTGTTAGTTTTTCTTCTGTCTTTTTTTGTAGTGCATTTTTAATGCCGTGTTTGATGTACACAAAACAAAAATAAAAATTCATAAACTGATTTTGAGTTTTGTGAACGTCGAAACGCATTTTTCTTTATTGTGAAGTCTGTCTAGTGTTTTTTTCTACTATCATATATATATATATATATATATACACTGAGCTGCATATATGTTGTTCTTCTTTTGACAAGTCGTGACACTTCTATAACAATTTTATTAGTTCGTGGCATATAGGAAAGTTGCTATTGTTCCTACTCACAGAGTTTGTTATAATTCTCGATCAACTACCGCACCCTGCTCTAGTGAAAATTTAGTAACTTTATAGTAACTTTTAATTTTAACAATAAAGTCACTAAATTTTCACTAGAGCAGGGTGCGGTAGTTGATCGAGAATTATGACAAATTCCACACAGTGGGGACAATGGCAACCTTCACATATGCCATGAACTAATAAAATTATTGTAGAAGTGGCACGAATTTTTTTGAAAATGATGCCAAAGCGAAAGGACTTTTACGATAATTTTATTAATTCATGGCGTTATGTAAACGTCATAAACTAATAAAATTAATATAGAAGTGTCAAGCTTTTTCAAAATGTCGTCAAACCGGAAGGACTTCTACAATAATTTTTTTTATATCGTGACGTAATGTAAACACCAGACGCCTTGAACTAATAAAAATTATTATAGAAGTAACACGACTTTTCAAATTGCCGTCAAACCGAAAGGAGAGTTAATAATTTTATTAGTTCATGGCGTAATGTAAACACCATACGGCCACAAATTGATAAAATTATTGTAAAAGTTCTTTCGTTTTGTCAGCATTTTGAAAAGTCGTGGCACTTCTATAATAATTTTTTTAGTTCGTGGTGTTATTTACATTACGCCACGAACTAGAAAAATTATTGAAGAAGTGACACAATTTTTTTTTTAATGCTGTCAAACCAAAAGGACTTTTACAATAATTTTATTAGTTTGTGGCGTAATAAAACACCATACGCCATAAACTAATAAAATTATAGAAGTGTCACGACTTTTTTAAAATGCCGTCAAATCGGAAGGACAACACATATATGCAGTTGGGTGTTCAAAAAAGCACACGTGAAGAACAAGCCTGAAGCAATTTATTCTTTTTAATTCGAAAACAATTTATAATTTTTGATTTTGTCTACATCTATAAAGATTTTGCTTGCTAAAGATTTTGCTTCAGGCTAATGATGCGGTCACATGTAAAATCAAAACGCAAAACTTGATTGGTCAATTCTAATGGAGAACTACTTTTTTCTATCATAAGTGACCAATCAACTTTAGCGAAAAATTTTTGCATATCGCACTCTATATAAAATCTCAATTCACATGTGCTTCGAAAAATCAAAAAAATAAAATAAAACAAAACTCTGAATATTTTGAATAAAACTTTATTCTATTTTCTAGTGAAAGAATATCAAACGCAGTGATGGAATCACGTGCAATTGCAAAAGCTCCAGAGGGTCAGGGATGTCCCCGATGTGGAGGTTATGTCTACGCTGCTGAACAAATGCTGGCTCGTGGAAGGGTGAGTATTTTAAGTGCCAGGTTACCAAATAAACACCGGATTAACTGTAATTATATAATTACCTTGATGCCACGACGATGACGACGACAACGACTTTTTGTTTCGTGTCCAGAAAAAAATTTGTCCCCAAAATTTAAATTTATGGATTCTCCAAACACTATACACATATATATATATATATATCATTGATTTCAAAAATATTTCTAAAAATATTTTTTAATAGCTTATCTTGGTTGGTGTATTCGATTTAATATAAATTTTTTGAAACAATGCCAAGTGTGCGTGGTCCGATTAGATGATGAAATGTGTAATTTCATAACAATGATGAGAAGGGGGATAAGTAAAAAAAAAGCCGTTGGTAGAGTACCAAAAACATTTTTGGCATACGTGCCAAATATACCTTAAAGAAGTTATATATATATATATATATATATATATATATATAATAGCCAAGAGAGAAAACACACTTTGAATTAATTCCCCCAATGACGCTAATTGCCACATCAGCTGCCCACTTTTACCCCCCCGTTAAAATCCATCAATATTATCATCAAAAGCGGAAAACTCTTGTCGCACGAATGTCCTATAATTTAATATCATAAATTTCTCTTGGAATACTCTTGTGGTTCTATATTAGTTATGCATTTAAAAATTCAAACCAATTCTCCGTGAGCGTTTACAATTTTCGACATTATATCTCCTCTCTCTCTCTTTATATATATATACAGATTTACTAATCTTATAATCCAATTTGCCCTCCTAATTCAAGTTTCAATTTCCGTTTGTCGGATTTATTCCCTGAGAATTTAGGAGAATTGATGAAGAAGGGACAAAAACCCAAAAATAGATTCATCTTTTTGATTGAATGAATTTTACAGCAGAAACTCAAAAATACGAACATCCTAAAAATACAGAAATACAAAATTCAATTTTCATTAAGAAATTTTAATAATTATTTTGTTGAGTCGTGGCATCAGGGTTGGCAGTAAAAAAAAGAATCCGGTTTCCCTAGAAGGCAAAAGGCGAGCGTTAAAAGCAGCCTGTAGTCATTTGCTGCTTCTTATGATTAGGGCTACCATAAACAATGCTACAAGTGCAAACTTTGTCAGCGGACCCTGGACTCTACGCTTCATTGCGATGGTCCCGATAACCAAATATATTGTCGAGGTACCTTTCGTCTCAAAATCAACCCTTTTTGATCGTTTTTTAATTCCAAAATCCAATTCCCTTGCATATATCCACTTTCTGACATTGTGGATTTCTTTTTAACATTCAACTTTTTTTCCTCCTCCAAAAAAAAAAAGGAATTTTTATTGATTAATGGGAAAGTAGAGATTTTATATATATATATACATATAGTTTTGATCAAGGATTGAATGTGAAGCAGTGGAGTTTCATGAAACCCGTTAAAATAAATTATACCACTTTCACTCCATTCCAAAAGTTTCAGTGACTAACAACCTATCCCTTTGTGTCTCGTGTAGCAATGGCACAAGGAATGTTTTAAATGTGCCAACTGCACCAAGCGATTAGATTCGGTCAACTGCTGCGAAGGCCCTGACAAGGATATCTATTGCAAAGGTGAGATCACCCCCTAAAGGCTAATTCCATCAAGATGTGATATGCCAAATTCGGTGATTTTCAAAATTTTTATTCCTTTACTAAAAAAAAAAATAGCATATCGCATCTTTGATGGCAACGATAAAAAAAAAAAGCAAAAACGATTCGTTAATGCATATTCTCTTCAGTATGTTATGGAAAGAAGTTTGGACCGAAGGGTTACGGTTACGGCCAGGGTGGTGGCGCCTTGCAGAGCGACTGCTACGCCAATGGGTGGGTTTTTTTTTTTAAAAAGCTGAGAAAGGGCAAAAACATGAAATCCCATCTCGGCATTTATACACTCTTATATATATGATGCGCTTATTTGCTTAACAGCTTGCTATCCGAAGAAATTTGGCCCGCGAGGTATTGGCCACGCCGGTGTCATGTTCATTGGGCTGCAGTGCGATATTGACGACGAGGGGTACGGAGAAACCCAATCGAATTTTTTTTCTCCCTAATCCGGCATAATGCTTTTGCGCTCTTACTGACAATTATTTCATTTCTAATAATATTCATTAAGGAGTTACTTAGAGCCCAGCGACAATGAGAGTCAATCAGGAGCATTAAAATTTAATGCTCCTAATTGGCTCTCGGTGTAGCAAGACTCTTAGAAAATTAGATGACCTTGGAATGTTTAGAAAAATCGTAACAGGCTGACCCAACCCTGTATAAACCTTTCGAATTCAATAATTAGGTTTTTTGTTGATTGAAAAAATTTCACTTATTTTTACGTAATTAGCTTTTTTGCATGAATTGATATGACTTTTTTTTACAAGCACTGTTTTCAATTAACAAAGAAATTATATTATTTAAATAGAGTTAGATTTTTTTTGTAATTAACTCGAAAAGTCCATTGTTACAGATGTGGTAACATTTATATTTCGGTTCTGCATCTGTCGTATGGACTAAAAATTTGTGCTAATTGTATATATATATATATATAAAACGGATGTGAATTCCAGAATTTATTAGAATTTCTCTTTAGTGATGCTGCACCTCATACAACCGTTGTTGATACTGCAAGTATTAAAGCCCCTCCTGGAAAAGGATGCCCTCGGTGCGGTGGTGTTGTTTTTGCTGCTGAACAAGTCCTAGCCAAGAGTCGTGAATGGCACAGAAAATGCTTCAAATGCCGAGACTGTAACAAGACACTCGATTCAATTATTGCTTGCGATGGACCCGATAAAGATGTTTATTGCAAAACTTGTTATGGAAAAAAATGGGGACCTCATGGTTATGGATTTGCTTGCGGTTCTGGATTCCTGCAAACCGATGGACTCACGTAAGTTGATGCACTGTTTAGTAAATAATTATTTTCTAAAGAGAATATTTTCTCTTTAGGAAATTTATTTACTAAAGGAAGTGGAATAATTATTTTCTAAAGGAAGCGGAATAATTAATTACTTCCAAAAAAAAAAAGGAAAGTAATTATCTGCTTTCTAAAGGAATAATTTTGAATAAAATGGGAATCTAATAATTTGGTATTAATTCCCATACAGTGAAGATGAAATTTCGGCAAGCCGTCCATTCTGCAATCCAGACACGACATCAATTAAAGCACCAGCTGGTCAGGGATGTCCACGATGTGGCGGTATGGTATTCGCTGCCGAACAGCAACTCGCTAAAGGCACAATGTGGCACAAGAAATGTTTCAATTGCGCCGAATGCCACCGACCATTAGACTCAATGTTGGCTTGCGATGGTCCAGACAAGGAGATTCACTGCCGCGCCTGCTATGGTAAATTGTTTGGACCCAAAGGATTTGGATTCGGTCACACTCCGACTCTTGTCTCAACAAATGGAGATCACGCTCCCTCATAGTAAGTATATATATATATATAATCCGAACATTTGGGAACTTAATTAATATCAATCAGAATTGAAGATTCAAATTTCTTTTTTCAGTATTGATTCAAAACCACAACTTGGTCAAAAGCGAAATGACGGTCACGGATGCTCACGCTGTGGTTATCCAGTTTACGCCGCTGAGCAAATGATCTCAAAGAATAGAGTTTGGCACAAGAGATGTTTTAGTTGTGGCGATTGTCATCGTTCCTTGGACTCGACGAATCTCAATGATGGACCCGATGGCGATATTTATTGTCGTGGATGTTATGGCAAACATTTTGGTCCAAAGGGAGTTGGATTTGGAATGGGAGCGGGTACCCTAACGATGGCCTAGACCTAAGTCTTTACTGTATAAGATTATAAATGGACCGCAGGTCTAATTTCAAATGACGAACATAATTATTCTTCATCGTCAGACGAGGAAACGATAAAATCATCCAACGAAAGACGACGACGACGACAACGATCAAACGAAATTCCTTATTTCATCTTTACTTTTTTTTCTATTTCTTCAATCGAATTTTAAACGTAATTAAAAGAAATTATCCTTTTTTTTTAATTACGTAAATTCGTTTTTCGTATCGCGAACAAAAATTTCAAGATTCATTAAGGCATGGTGTTTATCGATGGAGTTCTTTTTGGAAAATTAGGATTCTTACGATTTCGCGTAATTTTCACTGTGTTCCTTTTTTTTTTTTTTTTTTTTTTTGATGATGATTGAAAGGAAGGATTCGTGATTCGAAACCACAATCTAGAAATGTATCACATCATTTTATTTATCAAGATATAAGATATTATCATGTAACTACGTAACGAGAGCGATATTATTTTAAATAAATATATCATTTAAAAAAAAAAAATCGGAAATGAGAAAAAGGGTTTACCTCTAACATTTACTTTTATCATAGAAATCTATATAGATTATTTTTTCAACATATATCTCAATTCCTTTTTAATTATTAGAATTTAGATATGGTAAATATTTTTAAAAAATTATCAATTTTTTTTTTTTATTTATTAAATCATCTATCAAGAAGGGATAATAAATAAATGTATGGTGTAAAACACTAATTTTTTTTATATATTTATAGCAACAACTGTACAAGTTCCGGTCACACACAATGATATACTTAATCATAGAGGTAACCTTAATCGGTTATCACCAATGGCGGAGTCAACGAATTTTCTTCGATTAGAAACAATTACAATTTAATAGCAAAAAAAAAAAAAAAAACATCTAGTTGAATAAAATTTCAAAATTTTGTCACCGAATACTCCACCTTTGGTAGGCATATACAAAATGGACAGGATTTAACTGATTGAATTTTTAGTTTTACAATTTTAAATCCTCTAAACGTGGTGGATAAATAATATAATAGAACTTTACAATATGAAACATTACCATCAGTTTTTTGATGAAAATTATCTGTATATTGCTAAATTCCATCCATTGCTTGCATTCGACATACACAGTATTTCTATTTACATGGGAGGGGGGTTCTTTTTTTCGATATTAATATAAGTTCGCGGTTTTTAGGGGTATAGGATCAAGTAAATAGGACGGCAAGGCAGCGGAAAATGGTCTCGGACTACATGAGCCCCACGCACTTCCACTTCCTCTACCATTCGGTGAAATACTCTCACCATGTCCATCGGAATGTTTAATATTTACTAAACTATGATTTGTGATTGGCTTGACCTCTGTCGAGGAGAGAACACTATTGCTTGAGCCACCAGGCGGCGTCTCTGGACTTCTTGGTGAGCGTCCTTCAGTCTTTACGTTTCCCGTAACAGGACTTGATGCCCCACTATCAACTCCAACACCACCGTGTGACGTCGTTTTTTGTTGGGCAAGTCTCTCTTGTTTTCTGAATTTTGCTCGACGATTTTGAAACCACACCTGAATAATAGAAAGAAATTTTTAAAAATTAGATATTTTTTTATTATTATTTGCATTTCAGTAATATAAATTATTCTCTTAATTTAATTATATGCGGGGACAACAGAAATTGTCGTAAGGAAAATTAACTATTGTTAAAAATTCTACGGAATTTTTTTTTTTTTTTAGAAAAAGAAATGGTAATATCTCAGTGGAAATTATTTTGTAGAAATCTCGAGGGAGCCCTTACGGCGGATTTCGATGATTTCCGTAGGTTTAATCTGATTCAGATTTAGAGTGCAGATCGTCAACGAAACAACATTTTCGTCTTCATGATGTTCTTGAATATTTATTTACTAAATTTCTAATAATTTTTATTACACGGAAAGAAATTTAGTAGCAATATTTGATAAATCTGATAGGAAATTTTAGTATTCTCTTTTTCAAACGCGGAACATTTGGGTTTGATAACGAAAATCGGTATATTTTTACCAATAGTCTTTTTAGTAAATATATTCCAGAAATTGAAATTATTATTTCGTAAATTGATAAATTTATACGAAAAACCAGAAGTAAGTTAAACCGACGCGCACTTCGTTATTTACTAAATTTATATGAAAATTTGGAAAGATTATTTCGAAATTTGTTAAAACTATACTAAAAATTCGAAGTGGTTCAGTTGTGACAGATGACGACAGAAACACCAACAGATTCTACGCCAAAGTTTTATCTCTTTCTCATCTCGAGGATAGACGAGGATATGAACTTTTAAATTCACACACACACACACACACACCGCATTGTTTTACATCGATTGGCTTATTTTCATTCCTAACCTATACTAACGATAATACGTATAACATTCGCAGGATAACGCTTCATATACAAATTTACGCTCATGTGAAAAACTGATGTGACCATTCTTATATACTAACCAGACATATTTTTCACCGCTTATGAGAAAGGTGAAATTATATCAAAACATGTTTAAAAATATAAATAAAAATCATTATTTATTGGGAAATAATTAAATATTTTATTATTTTTTGAAGAACAATTTTTTTTACTGATTTATTGTAAAACCTTCGAAATTAATTATATAAAAGAAATTTAGGTCTGTATCAAGATAATGGTAAAAAGGGGCTTGTCTAAAGAGCTTCGTCAGTCTTCGTTACCACTCGGTGAGGATCGGGCAATTCCGAACGTTCAACTTCGGCAAATTTCGTCGAATCTCGTTAACTTTGATATTTCTTTTTCAATTTTCATATCAAATATATCAAAATCTGAAATAATTATTTCATTTTATACAATTCTAATTACGAAATTTGAAATATTTGGTTAGAAAAATTGATAAAGAGCTTATTAAAATTTGACATTTTTGTGTTTCAATAAAAAGATTTCAGATTTCGTAAATATTATATCAAATTTTCTTTCCAACTATATTAAATATTCTTATTTTAATCTCAATCATTCTTAAAAATAGTATCGAAAATCGTTATCATGCCAAAATGTTTCGCAATTGTAACCAAATATACTAAAAAAGTAACACCATAATATCAAAATATTGCTACAAACTTTCTTTCCGTGTATTTTAGATTATTTATGCGCGCGACAAGAGATTATCAAAATTATTTCGTGTTTTTAACTATAATTAACAATCAATCGAATAAGACACCAAGTTTTCAAATTTCCTTAACGTCAGAAAAGTTCCACCTTCCGAAACATTTTCCGAAAATAAACAAAATTCTCACATATATTTAAAATAGAATAACGTCAGTTAACTTCCCGTAATTTATTCAATTGAACTTATTTAAAATTCGTTTTAAATTTCTGTTCGTTAGTTCGTGTGATCAAAATACATATATATAATTTTGCTCATCGCTTTGGATAAATATCAACGAGCCGTTTGTATATATTATCAAATTCAAAAACTGATATTTTACACTAAGGAATTTTTATGACACTTAAAAAATACCGCTGATTAAAAATACATCGAGGAAGAATTTTAGGGTATAAATTATAAAACTAAAAGTCTAATCAACTAATTTAAAAAAATTTTTAAATAAACAGTCCATTAAAAATATATTATTTAACTTGAAAATGAAGCAAAGGGCTCATTTGATGCATAAATAGAAATAAAATAAACATTATCAATTTCACGTATTGCTAATGAGGCAATTTGACAAAATTTAAACGTGAATCAGGTTCGAGACCTTTTTTTTTTTTTTAATGTTTGCTCTTCGTGTTTCACTATATTTTGAACCAAAATACCATGTCCAATCACTCTCTCTCTCTATCTCTTTCTATCTCTCTATTTTATCTTTTTTCCGCTATATATATATATAGGGCTCGTCAGAGCGTAAAATCTGCGATCGTAATTGGCTGAAGCCGGCAAATGAAATATTTAACAAATAAAACAAACGGAAGCGTGGTGACCTGCATGTTAAAGTAGCGGATTTATTTGCTTTAACGTTTGTCTGACCAGTGGCGTATTTGCACGTGAATTCTCCCGAACCACCCTCTCCCAGGGTTCGCGCACATGGGCGGCTACACAGTTTAACTCTATATATATGTCGGCTCTGTGATCCAAGAGGAGGAGGAACAGTGAGAGGGCTAAAGGGAGAGAAAAGGGAAGTTTGGAGGGAGAGAGAGAGAGAGGGTGTTTAAAGGTGGAAGGGGGAGACCATAGGACTCCATGATGAACGTGATTGCCCTTTCCGGATAGCAAACACGGCTATTGGATTTTTATCAGCTGCTCTACTGATGCTAGAGTACTGCCTGTATGCTGTTGCCGATCAGAGCCAACCAATTTCTATATCCATTGACTAGAAATTTTTTTTCCCCTACAAAAAATTAATTTCATATTTTTTAATTCTAAGAAGAATTATTATTTTTGCAATTCTGATGCAATTGACAAAGCTATAGACCTAATAATTCCTTCAATTATTCCAATAACTATATATACTACATTTGGATGAGTGATTTTTAAAATCAACCAATCAAAAATTATCCATAAAATTGTAATTAGTTGATTTTAAAAATCGTGCCGAAATCGATTGTTTCTTCGGTCAAATGAAAATAATATCTATTAGAAATTCTGTAATTTTTCGGATAAGTAAAAATTCTGTAGTACATATATATGAAAAATCTGTTATATGGAAATTCAATCAAATAATAATTCGAAAAAATGAAAATTCATCTGAAAGAATAAAATGAAAATTCTATTCAATATATAATAATAATCAAATGAAAATCTTTGGAATAAATTGTTATTGTTGTATTTATTTTTTAATTTATTTCGGTAAATCAGACATTATTGCTATAAATTTAATATTTTAATTTATCTGAATTCTATTTAATCTAGTATTAAATTGATCATAATAATTTATTTTATTTCTTATCACAATTTCATTTAAGTAACGAAGTTGTTACAATATTGTAAACAATAATTGTCTTTGTAATTTTTAATTGAGATATATAAAAGAATTTTGCATTATCAACGCTATATATGTTTAGGGGGAAAAAATTAATTTACTAGAAATATATATATATATTGAATTCGCTGGGAATATCTACCCATCAGCCAATTTAGAAAGCAACACTCCGAAGGGTCTTATGAAATGAACAATTTCTTTTCCCTCTGGAATTGTGAATGGAAAGAGTGTAAGCAATTGCCGTAAAGGGACATTCTCTCTATCAAAAATGTAACTTTTGAACATCTAAAGTATTCAATGATAATAACAATAATAATAATACTTATAATAATAATAATAATAATAATAATAATAATAATAATAATAATAATAATAATAATAATAATAGTAACAACAATAATTATAACAGCTGTAATAAGAACAATAATAATATTTATGATAATGATAATAATAATAGAAAATAATTTGTTTCGTATATTAAATTTTTATTTTCAAATTGTTAAAATATACCCGATTACGGCTGTTTGAACAATAATTAAATATTCTTGTTCATCATTTATATAAATCAAATAATTTATGTATATAGATAATATTGAAACGTAAATAATTTAATTGAAATCATCTGTATAAATAACGATTTATGCTTCTCAAACATTTAAATAATGTAATGAATCTATTCGCGCCTTTAATAATTCAAAGGGTTTTATAAATTTATTTAATATTCAGATATACTCAGATATTTAAAAATAGTGTAATGCATTTTAATTTTTAACCTGTTTGATTTTTGTATTTATATATGATGCATTATTACATAATAGGTTTATTATCGTATTTTTTTTTGAGTTTTTATATAAGTGTAACAATTGCAATACTTTAAATTTATTTTCCCTAAGATTTTTCTAAAATACAGTGCGGCGTTTGTATTTACCCCGGTATTTTAAGAAAGTTGCAAAATATCGAGGGTAAATACGAACGCTAAGTTTCCTGCGATTATAATTTATCAAAAATTTTTGCTACCCCATAAAATTGTTCTATGGAAGTAAAGTAACAACTTCATGCACCAAAATACCGGAAGTATTGTCTTTTAAAAGAAAAAAAACTTATGTTATTATGTTGAAACTTATTAAAAGCGTTCGGATTTACCCCGGCTGACCCTAAATGATAACGTGAAAATTAGAAATATACCTATTATTAATTTATTACTCTACTGATGCAGAATTATTATTATTAATATTATTATTATTATTATTATTATTTTAAAACAACCATTGCATTCAAAGTTCGACGCGCGCGTGTATAATTTTGCTAGTATAAGTATATATTTTCAATTAAGAATTTCAATTTTCTTAATCGTGCATCTGGCTAGATTAATAAATCAGCGCGCCTTTGGTGCGCATCGCGTCGCCAAACTATATCATGCCCGACACGTTATGCATATATATATATATAGACTAACGTTTGCATCCTGCATTAATGGAATTGTAATTCGCACGATCTGACATGTGACTCAGAATCACGAGGCAATACGCCGCCGCCACGCGACAGAAAAGCGGGATATGTCAATGGGATATAATGTCATGGATAGAG